CTCTCTCACACACTCACACACACACACACACGCACACTCACTCACACACACTCACACACTCTCACACACACATACTCACACACTCTCTCTCACACACACACACACACTCACATACACATATACTACATAAACACACAGTGCAGAGATGTTCAGGTGTGTGTGTGTGTGTGTGTGTGTGTGTGTGTGTTTCAGACTCCTCACCTGGTGAATCTGAACGAGGATCCGCTGATGTCTGAGTGTCTGCTGTACTACATCAAAGAGGGTGTGACCAGGTGAACGGATCACAACCATCATCATCCGGTTCAGACTGAATCTAAACCACCAGTTCAGACTAGGGATGTTCATTTCGGTTATTTTTCCTAAAGGGGAACTAAAATAGCCTAGCTGTGTTTACAGAGTTTATTATCATGTTTGTAAACATTTCGCGTCGGCATTAGGCCTATTTCTGAATGAAATAATAAAATGCGACTTATACGCGACTTATGTATTTTTTCCCCCTAAAAACATATTTTTTATACGCGTAGCGTATTTTAACCATGCAGCAAACCTTTTAAAATATTTTTATAAATTACTGAAAAAAAAAAGTTTAACTGATTGTATTAATCGGTCAAAATTCTTATGGTCAGTTAATGGTCAACCGGTTAAAATGAACATCCCTAGTTCAGACTCCATTACAGAGCTGCAGGATGTTTGTGAGATTGTGACAGATATCCAATCACTTTGAAAATATGTATTGTAAAATTGAATCTTTTTAAAGATTTAAATACTGTGATGTGGTATTTCAGTAAATAATTGAGCTGATGATGGCTTATGTGCTGATATTCATCTGTGTGTGTGTGTGTGTCAGGGTTGGTCAGAAGGACGTGGACATCAAGCTCAGTGGTCAGTTCATTAAAGAGCAGCACTGTGTGTTTTACAGCTACATCAACCAGAACGGAGGAGGTAAGAGTGTGTGTGTGTGTGTGTGTGTGTGTGAGTGAGTGTGTGAGTGAGTGTGTGAGTGA